ACGTTATAATCTAATATATTTGGTTATTTAAGTCGGTAACATGTTGCTTTAGATGGAGATAATGAATGAAACAAACTGCAGTGTTGTTACTTAATATAATATATATTTAATCTGCTGTCGTTTAGGAGAAAAGTGTTTAAACGTTTAGAAACTGAATAAAATCAAATCTACATTTTGTCGTCTTGTGTTTATCTTCGTTTCTTCTTTGTTTATATTTTTCTCACACAATGTTTACTATGTTTCCTTGACAGTAAAACTGATGTCAGATAACTTGAGTGACCGCCTCGTCTTTATGTTTCCTCAGTGCCGAAGCTGCTGGTCGATCTTCACGTCAAGTTGCTGAGGAAGATCGGCAAGTCGGTGTCGGCCGACCGATGGGAGAAATATCTCGTGAAGGTAAACCTCGAGTTCTCGCGTTTGTTTCCACGTGAAGCACAAATAAAGTGACGCTGTTTGTTTGTGTTTTTACCGTCAGACTGCTACAAAAGTTCAAATTAATTCATAAAAAGCGACATAAAGCTGCGTTAGAAGATTGTGTTTATACATTCAGCTTTAACAACGGTTAACTTATAATGAAGTTCTGTGAGTCTGAAGATAATAATATTATAATAATTAATAAAAATCGTGATTTTAATAGTTTTGTTCATTTTAAACTGATTGTGAATCGTACTGCAATCGCAATATCAGTCAGAATAATCACAATATGATGTTTTTACCACCAATATTCTCTCTATAAATGTATTTATTTATAGAGAGAATATTATAGAGTTGAGTTACAGACTGAAAAACCAAAACAATGAGCTAAATCAGACCGAAACGCTGAGCGGGAAGTTCATTTCACCTTCACGCCATCATTAGATTGTGTATTAAAACCCTGCCTGTTAATTAATCACTGTAATACTCGAGAAAACGGGTCATAATTTCTCTTCAACATCTGAAATAACTGAAACTTCTAATGTTTAATGTTTAATAAAAGCAACTGAGGAGGTTTTCCACACTGTTATAACTCAAATTATGTTAAAGGTGAACAAAGATGGTGAAGTAATAAGTACACGGTGTTAGTTATCTATTCGATCAGACTTTAATAACAAGAAATAAGTTAATTTGATGCTGATTAAATGTGTGATTTCTTTCCTCGCAGGTGTGCCAAGAGTTCAACACAACCTGGGCATGGGAACTCGAGCAGAAAGGATACAAGGAGATGCCGACGGAGTGCAAGACGGGGATACTTAAAGTACGAAGTTTTGTGTTTACGTGCTGCAGTTTATTGCTGAGCTGACGTACGCAGATGCAGATATACTTTCTCTATAATATCTTCTGTTATCTCCTTCCATCTTCTGGATATTTTGGGGTATATACGTACGTGAGAGGCCGCACGACGTCAATATCATCATCAAGAGTGTCAGTAAGTCGGTAGTATGAACAGAACTACTGCCCAGATGTGGTGTCCACAGCTGTCTGTGTATGCATCCGTTCGAAGGTGTAATAACGGAAAGATGTCACCGTCAGGCGTCCTGGAAAATCTGGACATTTAGAGACTAGTTTTCCAGCCATAGAAGAAACCTGGAAGTTGAAATAATCTACGTTTTCTGTTTGTTTGAAACTCGACTGTTGTGGGATAATTCGCTCGTTTTCTGCTCACATGTCAGTTAAGAGCTTTTCCACCTTGCAGCAAACTTTTGGTATCAAGTCTATTTTGTTGTTTGTTTGTTATATTTTATACTTTTGCTTTGGGCTAATAGGTGAGAAGATGAATATTCTGTCAGTTCTACTTGATTTGATCTGTTATTTATGGGCTCAGTTGGTTCAGAGCGAGTGCTGTCCTGTATTGTCCAGAAAAAAAACTCCTGGAAAATTAGTTTTTAAGAGCTGAACTTCGCGACATTGCTTCACTCAGCTGCTGGTAAACAAAAGCATTTATTTTCTAACAAACTGCTAACTGTGCGACTGGGTAACTGCAGGTAACAGTTGGCTTTATCTTTTTTCACCTATCTGTTAATTTATTCATTAATTTTTACAACCAAATTTACCACTTGCAGCAAAATAACCAGGAATCCTCCATTCCTAAAAAGCAACCGATGATTTCTACGTCTGGTTTTGCTTTATTTTTTCCCAGAACTCAAGAGATTTTTACTTAAACTCCCAAAGAACAAACATGTGATAGTCAAACACATCCCTCAGGCTGCTAATACTCGTGTTCACCAGTGCAGATATGAATCTTGTCACTGATCCAAGACCTGACGCGCCTTGGTCGGTAACTTGAACCAAAACTTCATAAGAAAAAAAGGAAGAAACACTCAAAAAACAGTTCTCCAAACTCACCTGCTGTGAATTGTCTCTGACTGACACCGGCTTTGTGACGAGGTAGAGGTCAGCCGAGAAGGAGACGGTGTGCGGTGACGGCGTTAATGTATTTCCAAACAATTCTGTGCCTTTCTTCTCTCTCCAGTATTTGTGCGAGTGTCAGTTTGATGAAAACGTGAAGTTCAAAACCGTCATCAATGAGGAGGACCCGGATAAGATGCGGCTGCAGCCGATCGGCCGGGACAAAGACGGTCAGATGTACTGGTATCAACTGGACCAGGACGACAACGTGCGCGTTTACGTGGAGGAACAGGACGACTTAGACGGGTCATCGTGGAAGTGCATCGTCAAGTAAGCGGACAGAAGTGTGAGATGAAATGAAATTGAAATGCTCTGTATAAAAAACGGGGGGATTCTCGTGTGTGTTAGTTATTCTGAAACGGAGTTGTTATACTCACACACTCTTTTTCTTTCCTGCAGAGATAGAAATGACTTGGCGGAGGTTGTGGCTCTGCTGAAGACTCAAATTGACCCCGAGCTGTTGAAAAAAGATCAAGAAGCCAAGGCTCTGGCCGAGGAGGGCAAAGAGAAAGCAGAAGGTAAAGGTTATACTTAAACTGGAGTTCCCACTGGTCTTGAAATCATCTGTTTATTTATTTAGAAGAGCTTCTGTAAAACCTGCCATGATGAGAAACATGCCCAGAAGCAGTTACAGGTTTTAAATAACGTAATTTAGAGTAAAACAAGCCCCCGTTTGTCTTTTCGATCTTTTCACTGCAACTCTGCATCAAGATTTTGTTACAATTGTTTTTTATTTTTATTTTTCTGAAGCTTCATCATGTTAATAACAAAGAAACATACGTCTACAATTAATAAAATCGATACACATGATAATCGTTATTCTTCTATGAGTCAATGAAGGCAAACATCGGCACATTTTAGATTTATTATCACAATAATTAGCTTTGCAAAACAAAGGTTAAGTGTTCTGAACTGTTACGATAATCTGGACAACATTAGTAACTGGAGAACTCTTTTTATTGTTTTCTTTAACTCCTGATCACACAAACCAACTTACTCTTCTATTTGATCTTTTATTTACAGGTGACGTTAAGAAGTCTGAGGACACGTCAGATGAAGACTCAGACAAGTCTGTCTCACCAAAGACGGAGAGCAATGAAAAAGTAACACAGAAAGACGACTTGATATCAGAAGCTTCTGAGGTGAAATCGTCACTGAATGGCATCGTTAAAGTGGAAGCTGAAGCAGAACTCGGCTCAGAAAAGCCTGCGGTGGATCTCAGCATCAGTACAAAAGCCCAGAACATCAAAGAAGAGCCGATGGAGGTGTCAGACACTAAAACAAGCACAGCAACAAGTGAACCCGCCGCTGAGACGCCGTGTATATCAGTAAAAGCAGAAAAGGGAGAGGAGGCGAAGAAGAACAGCGCAGAGGAGATTCAGCAGGCTCTGAAGAACGACCAACAGGCCAAAATCCCTTTGAAAAAAAGAGGAATGAAGTTTAGCGAAGACTTTGAAAAGAATAGCGGCATTATAGTGCAGAATCCGTCTGTTTCTCAGGTCAAGGAAGCTCCGAAAGCTGACTCGGCTCCCGAACAGACAAAGAAAGCGCAGAGTGTAAACGATCACGTTAATGGGGAAGTTCAGCCCGCACTAGAGAAAGGCCTCCAGAGTCATCTGTGCGAGTCACTAAAAGACGCTGCCCTCGACAAAGAGCAGACGACTCAGCCGGCTGCAGGTGAATCCGTAAGAGCCAGAGAAAATGACTCACCGTCCACAGTCAAGAAGGATGTGAAAGATAAAAGGGATGAAGCCTGCAGTGCAGAGAAGGTCACGGAGGGAGTAGAATCACACCGAGCAGATGTGGACACGAAAAATCAAGATATGCAAGTAGAAAAGCAAAGTGCTGCATCAACAGAAAAGAAAGGAGCACACAAGTCTCCGCCGCCGCCAACACAACCGCCACCTTTATCTAAAGATATGAATAATGCACTTGAGAAGTCGTCTAATCACGAAGAGCATGAAAACATAAAAGAATCCAAACCGGCTGATGAAAAAGACTCTCGAACAGGAGACAAGATGATCACATTAAAGGAAACCGATGAAACATTAACAACCGGTAAGTCAGAGAAAATCACATCCAAAGACGTTGAATCAAAAGATTCAGAGGAGAAACCAGCCTGCGTAGACACGGACACATCAGAGAAAAGTCAGAGCGAAGGAACCAAGACGTCGGAGTTGACAGAAAACGTAACAGACGTGAAGCAAACGGAGACGAGCGACGCTAAAGAAATCACAACACAAGAGGCTAAAGTTGAGAAATCCAACTCGGAGCTGAAAGAGTCGCCAGGAATCATCAAAGCAACAGAGACGCAGCGTGCAGACAAAGATCCTGCAAAAAAATCGGTTGACTCCGAAGACGCCGTGTCGCCGCCTGTCATTAAAAAGACAGAAATACCAAAAGCTGGGGATAATACAGAGACCCAAGGAGTCACACAAAGCTCTAATGTTCTCAAAAAGGCTGAGAAATCATTAATCAGTGAGAAATCAGAAGAAACACCCAGCACTAAAGAGAGCGTGAACTCTTCTGTTGTTAAAAAGTTAGACAAATCAGACTCGTGTAAACCTGTCGAGAAGCACGAAAACATCAAAGACGCAGAGATCACTCCGGAGAAAGGAAGCGCGGCATCCGAGACTAACGCTGAAAAGACGGAAGAGACGGAAAAGACGGAAGACATAAAGAAAACTGTTAACTGTGAAGACCAAACGGTGCACGATGTCGGCAAGATAAGCGAGTCTGCGCCCGAGCCCACGGAGGTAGAAGCAGTGGCCGTTAAACGCGATCTGACAAAGCCACAAGAGGATGACAAGACTGAGGTGAACTCGGATGCACATAAGGCGACGGTGGAGGCATCTGAAGGGAAAGATAAACCACCCAGTCCTACTGAGAAAACAGACGTCTCTAAAGAAACTGATACAAAACCTGAAAGGCCAGACACCGAACAGGAAAAGGTGCCTGAAGAACCGCCCAAAAATATCGAGGCAGAGCTTCCATCATCAGAAAGTAAAAAGGATGCCGACAAGGGAAATAAAAAGAAAGCAGGCGATGAAAAACCTAAGAGTGAGAGAGAGAAACACAAAGAGAGGAAAGAGGATTCAACAACGGATAAACTCTTAAAAACCGACGAGACAAATGAGGAGAAACCAGCTCACAAAGAAAGCGAAACCTCAACCAAGACGGACGAATCTGGGCAGCAAAATGTGAGCAAAGAACCAGACGACAGATCCTCAACTGAGACCGAGAAAGCAGGACGCAAGAGCAAAGACTCCGAAAAGCCCACTGACGAGGAAGGCAAAAGCAAAAGTGAGGAAGAGGAGTCCGCGACGAAAAAAGAGGTGGCGAATGGCGGGGAAGCTCCGTCAGAACCTCGGGAGGTCCGTCGTAAGGTCAAGCGTCCGGTTCCCCGAAGGAAAGTTGAACTTCTCCGAGAGGAGAGACAAGGAGATTCAGAGTCCGATACGAACACGGGGAGGTCTCTTCGAAGGTCACCGAGGATCTCCAGGCCGACGCCGAAGGCCGTGGAGATCCACGACAAGAAGCTGGAGAAGCCGCAGGCTCCTTCGTCGGCTGAGAAGCGCGACGACGACAAGGGCGAGAAAGAAAAAGACGAGGCTGAGGAGGACGAGGAAGAGGAGGAGGTGAAAGCTGTTCAGAAGAAACCAAGGGAGAAAAAGGCGGATCAGGAGGGTCAGCCCAAACCTAAGGTAAGGTCGTTGAGAATGTAATCAATTAATTGGGCGTTAATGTTATCAATGGTTTGATTAAGTGTTTACAGTTCACAACCTTAACTGTTCAACACGTTTTGCTTATTCAAGGGGAGAAAGCGGCGGAAGGTACGATGGTCCAACACGCGAACGCGTCGTAAAAAGAAAGGCTCGGAAGATGAAGACGACAACAGCGACGAGGAGTCAAGCGAGGAGGACGAGACCGAGGAGGAGGACGACAGCGACGAAGACTACAAGGTCGAGCGAAGCAGAAAGAGGCGGAATCGCAACCGCGAAAGGCGAAGCTCGGACTCCTCGACGTCCTCGGACGACGACCTACCTCCAAACGACGACCCCTGCAAACATTGTGGTCTTCCAAATCACCCTGAGCTGGTGGGTAATTTATCTTCAGACCAACAGTCCAAATCACAAAGATATTACGATTATATATGAAAAACAACAAATACACATATTGGTGAAGGTGGAACCAAGAAAACTTCATTTTTGCTCTAAAATAAAACAAATAATCTATGAATGTCTCCTTTTCTCTTTAGATCTTGCTGTGCGATTCTTGTGACAGTGGGTACCACACAGCCTGCCTAAGACCTCCCCTCATGATCATCCCCGATGGAGAATGGTTCTGTCCGCCCTGTCAGCACGTACGTACCGTCCACAGGCGCCGCACGTTAGAGACCAGAATCAACAAAAATGTGACCGTAGATTGAATGTTTTCGCCCCCTCTTGTAGAAGCAGCTCTGCGACAAGTTGGAAGAGCAGCTCCAAAATCTCGACGCCGCTTTGAAAAAGAAGGAACGGGCGGAGAGAAGGTGAGACGATTTGTGCCTCGACTGTTTTTAAAAATGCTGTTAACGGCTTTAGGGAGTGCAACAGTGAACCAAAGCAATGTACCGAATTCCTGTGTAACACATGGGATGTTTGTTAGGTTCAACATTGGGTGGTTTTACTGCATCACTGATGGACATCGTGGAAAGTTTTGTTTCAAACCAACTAAAATGTACAACAGGAACATTTTACAGTATAATTTAATCCAATTGAAGCATAAACACAAATAACTTCTACTTTTTTAGGCTTGTGGTTCCGAACCTGGCCTCTAAAAATCCTTCAATTTAATTCAGTTTTCGTGCAAAATCCTAACAAAAGTTATCTGGGGACACTTTTCATATAGAGAGCATCTTATATTGTTTATAATATTATTCACAGAGACACAACAATTCCCACCATGTACAAGCACTTTTCTCCTTCAAATGAAACCATCTCAAAACAAAATATTCCTCTTGTGATAAGACGTCACAAGTAGACTTGCAGTGTTCATTTGATCCCTGATGGAGGGAACTCAACTCATCGATTGGACAGTTTTGGCATCATCAGGACGCAACGTGGGAAATTCAGCACTTTAATGCTTCTAGTGTGTTTTATTTATCTTCTCTGGTGTCACAGAGAGATAAATGATTGGCAGTAAGTTGGTCGTATGCTCTGGATAATGACTGACTGTTAGAGACCGTGTTTGTTTTAACTGAACCAAACTTATTTTTTGGTTGCGTCTCAAGTGAAAATGTCCAGGAACCGCTGTCTCATACCTCTGGATTTCTTTATATCTGTGTGCTCTGATAATTCTGTCCAGTCCCTGAAGATTTAGATGAACTCCAATGATTTTACTGTGAAATTTCAGCTCCTTCACAGTAAAATCTCTTGCAGAGCTTCAAACGTAAAATCTGAATTTCATTACACGGCCCTGCTTTGTGAAAAACCTTGAATCCTTGAAACATTTAAACACGACAGACTAAGAAAAAAGCTAATTAACAACAAAAAATATATTGTTTTTTGTTTAATATGATTTATATTATATTTGAGCACCTAACTGACAGTAAAATGAAGCGTTCATCCCTGTATTCAGAGAGAGAGTCAGTGATTTTGGGCTTTCTTAATGTCTATGATCTCCTCCAGGAAAGAGCGTCTAATCTATGTTGGAATCAGTGTTGAAAACATCATCACGCCCTCAGTAAGTACGGAGTGCGATCGTACGTTAATGCCGGATCGATACTCGCCTGCCGGTGTTTGTAACGTAGATCCTCACTCGTCACACAGGTGGAGGTAGAGGAAGAAAAGCCAGAGATCATTATCAAAGAGAAGAAAGAAGCAAAGAGAAGTAAGAGCTGGGGTCGAAGGTCGACGAGGGCGAAGAAATCCATCAGCTACAGGTCTGACACAAACTTTTATGTAGTTACATGAGTAAATTTACTCTTTTATGTGCTGATTTTTATTTCACATTCAGTGGATGATTTGATGCAAAGGACTACAAAACATTCAGAAAAGGTGTTTATTTCATAAAGCTAGAAGAGAAGAGAGTCAGAGCTTCTCCAAAACAAAAACAAACAAAAAAAAGTTGGTCCAAGGAAGGAACAGAACCAGAGACAGGGTCAAGGCTTTGAAGGCCCCGCGTGGTCCGATCCAACAGACGAGCTACTGTAGCTGCAAACTGCTGAAACAGTGAATGCTGGTTCTGATAGAAAGGAGTCAGAACACAGTCTGTTGGTGCCCAGGTGGTCATAATGTTATGGCTGAACATTACAACACCTTGAATTATATAAGTGTGTTGCTGAAATATTCTGAACCAACCAATCGGTCTGAAACTCGGTGTTCTCGAGAACCCAGGATCATAATACCACACTCTGGAAAAACTCCTGACTGCAAACACCAGCGGTCTCGCCGGTGTTCGGTTTAACAAGTGGCTCTCGGCTGAAGGTCGCCGGTTAACAGGACCCAGGAGAAAGGAGGAGGGAGAGTGCAGGTGATTAGTACAAGCAGGTACCGAGATAAAACATCCTGTTGTACTCCTTTTTAAAGTTACTTGCAAAAACAACAAAAAAATGCGATAATACCGGAGATTCCTTCCTTCCTGGTGCAACTCCATCAGCCTTTATGTGTGTGCTGTATGTGTAGATTTTCCAAGTGATTCATGTGATTAAAGGGAGTTTATGTCTGTTGTTTTAATTTTACAGATTCGATGAATTCGATGAGGCGATCGAGGAGGCGATTGAGGAAGACATCAAAGAAGCAGAAGGCGGAGGTAGGAGGACACGAGTTCTTTCTCTTTTTGGAAGTAATTTAAAGGAAAGGAGTGATATCTATCGTCTCATCTGAGTCTAAGATGGGATTTAAGATCTGCGATGATGACGAGCGGGGTTTTTCCACAGGAGCTGGTCGGGGTAAAGACATGGCCAACATCACAGGCCACAGAGGAAAGGACATGTCCGCCATCCTCCAAGCAGAGGAGGGCAAGGAGAACGGCCGCCCGCCGCGACCCACCGCCGGTCAGCGCAGGAAAAAACGCCGGCGACTCAACGACCTGGACAGCGACAGCACGGTGGACGAGGAGGAAAGCGAGGAAGAGTTTCGCATCAGTGAAAGGTGGCAAGTTGTGGCACGCTTATGTAAAAAAAAAAAAAAAAAGTGGTTTCCTCGTAGCTAAATGATGACGTTTGTTTGTTCTTCCTCCCTGGTTGCAGCTCAGAAGAAGAGTTTGTGGTGTCGGAAAACGACTCGGAGGGTGACACGGAGGCGGACTCCAACAACAGCGAGTACGGCAGCAACAGCAGCGGGAAGCATCGCACCTCCACGCGGTCCAGGAGGCCGCAGAAACAACGACGGAGCTCCAGAAAGCGGCGGAGACCGAGAGGCTACTCGGATGACGAGGAGGAGGAGACGGATGAGGATGATGAAGATGAAATAGGTATGTAGATCGTATTAGGAGACATCTGGAGTCATGGCAGTCCTTTAATCTGCAGCATGTACTGTAGTGTAGCAGTTTACAGGACTATTACCACTTATATAACCAGCTATCATCATTATTTTAGAGTGAAAACGCGTCTTTACGCTTATTTTAATACCTTAAAGCAAAGGCAAAAATTCGATCTAATAAGGCCAGTCCCTGCTGGAAGTTGCAATCGCAATAATTAAAGCAAATTCAACCAATCCTCATGAATTCTGCGCGACCAATCAGCAAATATGACCAATTAGTGAGGTTTTCTTCGCCAAACGTCACCAGACTCGCGTCCTTGTTTCTAGTTGTGAAGATGAAGACGTGTGTGACCCAAACGTCGCACATTTACCCTCCGAACAGTGCGAGTTTAGTCTCACTAGAACAAGCTGCCTTTTGATTTTTATTAATGAACAATACAAGACATCCTAAATCCTAAAAACCATCACAACATGCATTTCATTTTAGGCCGCAACAATCCCCCAAAAAGCCTAATAAATCGTGGAGAGACTGATGAGATTAACTCCAGATTTCACCGTGGCCGACTTTAAACTTGCTTTAACTCTAATTAACAATTATATGATCATATTCTGTTGTTTTACTCAATTCTGGTGTTTTTTTCCTGCAAATTATTATTAAAATCTAACAGAATTAGTTATTAAAGGTTTGATGGTGAACATGGAAGTCTTCTTTTTTTTTTACGTGTTTATCTTATTATAGGAATCTCCGTCAATTTACATAATCAACTAATAATTTAAGTAATATATTGTGATAAAAATCCAAAACATTCTCAAATATGAGGATTTTATCTCTTATATCATGAAAGTTAAATATCTTTGGTGTTTAGACGCATAATGGGCCATTCTTATACATTTTTTCCGACATTTTATAGACTAAACAGTTAAGAAATCAACAGTTGTATCCGTAAAGAAAATAATTGTTACACGTAATGTCTCATAAAATAAAAATGTTCCAGAGGATCCTCAAGTCTTCTCCACTTATGCTTTGTGTTCCTGAGAGGAGTTGTTTTTAAATCATGAATAAGGTCTAATTTACAGATTTAAAATATACATATTGTCTCTAAAACAGTCAGGATGTGTTTCAGTTGGCTTTGAGAAGACGATGTCGCTGGCAGCATATCCTCACATTTATAACCCGTTATTACTTTCTGTGTGTCCAGTGACTGAAGGCTCCAGTGAGTACAGCGACAGTGATCTGGATATGAGCCGACGGCGGTCTCGGCGGAGTCAGAAGAAGCAGGTGAATTACTGTGAGACGTCCGAGTCTGAAGGCTCTCAGGCAGAAACCAACCGGGCCAAAATGAAACCCAGACGTCAGCAGGAGAGCTCCGACAGTGAGGGTGAGTCAGAAAATACACAGTTGGGTGTTAACAGCCGGCTACGGGCCACAATTCTGACCTTTGATACCACAGTAATGACAGATATAAGATGTCCAGCCTCTCTAGTTAGATGTTCACAAAGATATTCAGCATCACGGACAAAGACAGTAACACAGAGACAATACTGGTCTTATTTCCACGATTATAATCAGCTGCTCATTTAGGATACAAGTGGTTCGATATCATTCTTAAGGACGCAGATAAAGGCGGCGTGTTTGTGATTAGGTAATAAGTTACTGGCATTGGTGAGCTCATGGTGCAAGACAGATATAGACGTATTTAATCATATAGATAATAACCAATGTGCAAAGTATCATAAATATGAAAGTTAAGCTAAAAAAATACAACAATAAAATACAGGAAATACCTTCCGTCGGTTTAAAATTCAAACCAAAACGTGAAAAATGTGCAAAATATCACAAATAATCACAAAGAAAGTCGAATATCTTCCAGGAATAATTGATGGATTATTACACCTTCCCTTGAAACTCCAAATAATCATGTTTATATGACATTTTACGCCTTTTCAGAAGAAGATCATTACTTTTAACTCAAATGTGGAGATATGGCGGAGAAAACTGCCACGTAGCAGCGCTGCAGGAGCAGGTAGGGGTTTCGGTGCCTTGCTCAAGGCCACCTCAGCAGTGCCTAGGAGCTACAAGTCCACACTCAATACTGTGGCCCATACTGGACTTGAACCAGCAACCCTCCGGTTCTGAAGCTCCTGGGTTGCAGCTCCGTGGCAGCCGACCACTCCAACATCTCTCTCGTGTGAGAAAAATAGAATTAGGGTTGTATGTACAAAGTAAATACAGTATTTTTATACAGATGTGATTTAAATTTAAGTATAAAACATCACATTTCATGTTTAGTAGTAGTAATAGTGCTGTCAGAAAATGTATTGGTAGTGTTTATTTCCTGTTCTGGCCATAAAATAAAGCCTAGATTCAGATACAGTTGCACACTAAACTAGTACAAGGCTGAAAATGACAATAATTTGAAGGAAACTATCCTGTACATCTTTCCAGTTTTATGATATTAAATGAATTATTGATGTCGGGGAGCTGCAACCACCACTAACGTCAGTCACACGTAGGGAGGAGGTGAGTCACACAGTCATGTTTGCAGTGTGAAATTACTTTAAAAATCCTATTAAAGATGAAGGAAACGCTGCCGGGTGGTTTTTAGGTTTAATACATTTAGTTGGATCAGAACGACGCTCCGCTTTAATCAGCTTTTTTTTAAAACGGTGTCAGCATGGAGGGAGGTCATATTTCTGTCAGCGACGGCAGAAATATTGATTTTATTAATGTGAAAAAGGTTGTTAACTAAAAGTGTTTCTTGCTTTCTTTCGCCAGCGAGTTTCTCCAGAGACTCTGAGGATGAGTCGAGGGATCGGAGGGTGAAGAGGAGAGCCGACTCCTCGGAGGAAGACTCCCGGCAGCGGCGCAGGCGGCTCGCGCTCAAACGCCGGAGAGCGTCCGAAGAGGACGACTCGGACGACGACTCGGACGAATCATCGGAGGAGGATCGCCCCATCCGCAAACGGGTGAACCGCATCGACTCGGACGACTCGGACGAGGAGCCGGAGGAGAAACCGAAGGAGAAGAAAGCGGCGGAGAAACAAGACGAGGAGTCAAAGGGAACAAACGCGGCGGACTGTAATCCGGTGGAGCTGCCGCCAACCAACGGACAGAGCCCGATAAAGAGCCTCGAGGGCCTCATCAGCCGGCCCGCCGCTGCCGCCGCCACCACAGCCGCCACTCCCAGTCCTCATCCCACATCTGGAGC